AATGTAACAGTTATAAGCTAGGAAATCAGATAGGTGTCAAACCCACGTTCTCACAGCGTCATCATGTGATGTATCACAACTTTTTTTCTCCTTTGCTAAATGTCATGGGTGTGGCCAGCATGTGATGCATCCAGCTCAAGGGCCATGAGTTTGACAGCCCTGAGATAGATTCTTGATTGTATAATATCCTTAGAATATGTACAAGTTGGCCAAGAAGTTAATTTCAACATAATATAAAATTATTACACAGTAAATGCATACAAGCTTTTGGCTTCTTAAAAAAAATCAGATTAGGGCATTTTAAACCTTTGAGATATCTTCTACTGCTGATAGTTACTATCTATACTACCTATGACAGTACATATAATCCACTATACTTGTGAACCTACTACCTTGTCCTTAAGGAGACTGTTTTCATGACAATGTTTCTGAAAGAGTGCTTTACTAAACAGGAAAAAGTAAATAAACAAACAAATTTTCCTATTTTCTTTCCTTAGAAGATAGGAAATTAAGAATGATCTTGGATGGATGTATTACAATTCTATCTATTAGCACTGTTGTAATGCTACAGGAAGAAAGTATGCAGCATCAACAATGCTAGAGGAAGAAAGTATGCAGCATCAACAATACTTCATACAGTTTATAAGATTAGAGTTTCCACCTGAATGGCACTCAGATTCTCTGGAGAGTACATTTTTATGTCTGCACTACTTAAGCCATGCTTGATTTAAAAATGGACTTCATACATGCAAAAGAGCAACGTTTTTCCCCTGTCTCCTCTAGTAGAGATAGAACCATACATAGAAAGGAAGACTATGATTGTTGATTCATAATTGACTATAATTCTACTCTATCCTGCTAGAGGCTGAAGCCACCTCCATTATCTTTTGGAGAAGAGATTAGTGATCAGAGATCTCTGAAGTTTGCCTTCTAACAATAATATCCTGATTCAGTGATGACAGTTCCTTGTTCATAAAACTTTTGGGGAACTTTAAACATATGATAGATATATGGAAGGTGAAATAGCACCTGCAACAGAATATATTTGACACTCACCTAACATAAATTTAGATCATTCAATTTCCCATGGGACAGCAAGGTCAGAAATGTTTTATGGGAAGAAGGACAAACACATCATTAGGAGCACATATTTCACTGTCACTTTCCAATGGAAACAATTTTTGTCTGATGGAGTCTCTCAAAATGAGATATATGATGATTTGACATGCAGGAAACTCCTTCTGTGCTATTTTCACACTTTTGTTCATATTGAATTGAAACTCCTTTCATCATTTTATTTCTGGAAAGGGATGGCAATATCCTAAGAGCAGCATTTTAAGATTTTGGTTTTGGCCAAGGCTTCTATATTGAGACAAAATGAATCACAAAAATGTAAGCAGATCCAGACTTTCAGAGAAATGATATGAATCTGTCTAAGATAGAATATAAATACGGTACATGTTCAGAGTAGAAAACTGTGTTTCTAATGCCTGCCAACAAATACATAGTTTCTGTCACTTATTGTAGCTTCAGGAACAGAAGAGGATAAACGGGGTTGGAAGAGACCTACTCCAATCTCCTACTCAAGCAGGAAACAGTACCGTTCTGGATAAAGATAAAGGAGATCTTAAATAATTTTGGGATTATAATCCTTTCTTGGAACTGACTGTTAAAAATCTCTTGGAAGCTTTAACTTCCAAGAGTTCAGCTTCTAAACATTTTTGCCTAGAACTGCAAGGATCTATTATATCCTGTGACATTTGTGCTACAGGGTAGCAATTTGCTGGTATCAAGAACTGCTGATTTATTCTATGCTTGCTGGCTTTTTTATTACTATATCAAATGGATGAAAGGAAACGAGTTGTAGTTTAATTTGGATTAAAAGTAGTAGTTAGGATGTTTACTGACATGGTTGGAAAAGTGAAATTGTTGTTGAATGTGATTGCATCCAGGAAGACAAAATGTGCTGCTTGATGCTACACAATGTATCAAGTGATCATAGACAGCACATAGTGCCATCTATGTACACTTCACAGATATCAGCTGCCAAAGGTGCTTTTATTAGCAATGTTCATATCCAGAGAGGAGAGAACTTAGACCATTTTGTGATTTTAATCCATTCACAGAATTACTTATTAAAAATGTATTGGAAGGTTCAACTCATTCAGGATGTTTCTAGATGTTTGCAAGAAGTGGATAAACAGAACACACACACACACACACACACACACACACACAGAGAGAGAGAGAGAGAGAGAGAGAGAGAGAGAGAGAGAGAGAGAGAGAGAGATATTCCTGACTCTTTTGAAGTTGGTTTTAAAGTCTTAAGATTTCCAGTCTGTTTTTATATAGGAGTATGCTAAATATTTCAAGCTTAGAAAAAAAATCTAGTTTAAAGTAGGTTGTTCCAATTTTACAAGATTGTTCTGACCATCTCTTAAGTGTTTTGAATTCAAAGTGAAGTCATTTGAAGCTAAGAACACTTCTACAATGAGAGTAGTATTGAAACTCTCCTGGCAAGATTGGGACAGTTATTTAGAATTCAAAGCAAGCCCCCACCTGACTTTCTAGACAGATGTTGCTAATCAGAGTAGACCACCGTGAGCTACTGTATATAAACAGTTTTGTCTAGAAAAAGGTGATGTCCTTTGTGTCATATTCTATGGATAGAAGTATCAGATCTCATTTTACACATCATCCAATATTAGGATTTAGGACAATGTTCTTTTCCCATCTCAAATGTGTTGATTTGGTAAGATGCAAATAAGAAGCAAATGCTATTTTCAAAAACTTCTGATTAGCATGTTTACTTATCTTATCTTATCTTATGATGCTATCCAGTTTGGAACAAATACTTTAATATGGTCCCACCATATATTCCTGGAAATGTACAGAAAGAGATTTTCCTGGGAGCTCCAAGAGAACCTTAGATCTTTCTGCAGATACAGAGTAAGGACCTACGTTTTTCCTTTTGATTTTTTTCATGAGAAAGGTAAATAGATTTAACAGTATGATGTATTTTTCTTAATGAGATGCCAGGTTAAGTTCTGATGGAAAATTCCAGTTGCTCAAATATGTGCCCTGATTTTGAAAAGCTCATTTAGAGTGATAAAAACAAACAAACTTGTATGCAGACAAATAGAAATCTGAGCCTGAATTTAAGGCAGGCAGACTGGGAAAAGGGAATGATAGTGAAAAAGGATATCTGGAGAAGCAAAATTATAATTTCACAGTCACAACTATTATTCTGTAATAAACTTGATCACTTGTATCCATCCACAGGAATGATTAGAGGTCAAAGACTTGATTCTCTCCTTGCATTAGGCCCAATAATGCTACTGAATTATTCCAGCCACATTGGGTGCTCAAATAAAAAGGTATATGAAGCCTCAAGCAAGGACCTGTTCAGAATGAAGAATTTTGCACAATCTCTCTCTCTC